GACGTGCTCCACTGGAAGGGCGGCACGTCGTCCCACGTGGGCCCGCTGGCCGCCACGAGGCGGAAGGTCGGGGCCAGGCTGAAGGACGTGATCTGGGGCGAGGAGAGGGGGAGAGAGAAGAAAAAAAAAAACAAAATGCAAGTGAAAACAGAGAAGGGAAGGAGTGACAGAGCTGATGGCAGAGCCTGGACACGCATACAGGACAGGGTGGCAGTGGGGACACAGCCTTGAACCGGTGACATCACATTCATTCAGTCTCACACATCCCAGGCAAGGATGCCACCACTTTGGTTGTGCCACCCATCCTCAAGGGACACCAAGGGGCCAGGCGGCGCCGGCAGGGTGCTGGGCCCTCCCCGGTCCCCACCTTCATGTCCGTGCCACCGTGCGAGCGCTGGCGCAGCGCTGGGAAGGGGTAGGTGCCGTTGGCCGGGTTGAGGTCCGAGCGGGCAGAGATGGCGTTTTCGGCGTTCTGGGGTGGGTCGCAGCCCTGGCATCGCGACAGCGGGTCCCGCAGGTAGTTGTTGAACCTGGAGAACGGGCAGGCCGGCAGGGCCACGTTGACAAGTCGCAACAAAGGAGGGGGGAAAAAATAAGTTACTCCAAAGGTAATACACCCACAGAGCTGGAGGTGCTGGGACACCTCACCCGCCCTCAGCCCCTCCTGGTGCCAGCGCTCACCTCATCAGACGGACCATGGAGTCCATGTCGCGCACAAGCGTCTGGTTGCGCTGGAAGATGCGGGCGCGGGGGCTGCCGTCGTAGCTGAACCAGTCGCCGTATTTCTTCACCAGCTCCAGGTTCCCGCTGGCGTTGAAGATCTCCTCAAAGTACCTGCGAGGGAGAGGGGCAGCTCATGGGGCCGGGAGCCGCCCTCCCCTCGCAGCGTCCCGGCGCGATCAAGGGTGCCCGGCCCTGGTGGGCTGGGACAGCCCGTGTCAGGGGACGGGAGTGAGGGACACGCAAGGCGAAGCCAGCTGCAGCTTACGGCACGTTGTAACTGGCCCAGTATCCCTGCTGGTAAAGCAGCTCCGTCTTATCATCCACCACCACCAGGCCCCTGCAAGGAGAAGAGCAGGGATGGGACCGGGGGCAAAGCCAAGCAGAGCTGGGGGTACACGGGGCGAAAGAGGGAAGGAGGGTGAAGGTACCCACCAGGCATCACAGCTAAGTTACCACCCAAGTCGGGTCCTGGCGGCCCCTCACCCCCACCCCAGCCCCTCAGA